ACAATATACAATTGAGGGGAAGCCAGCGGGAATCAACTGCCCCCATACCCATGTTAGGCAGCAATTACCCAAATCAACCTGCAGAACATCCCTTTTGCTGGAAACAGGGACACCCCTCATGAAAATGGAAGGGTCCAGACGCAGTGCCACCAGCCACCCTCAAGTTCTGGCCAATTATAGTAATTGGAATAGTCCATCTGCGAGGAGGGGGTACGTAACAGTAAATATAGCTGGAGCACATCATTCCCTCCACCCCAGTTTCATGTAGATAGCAGCCACTGTCTGGAAGAGTCCAACCGCATGAAGCAAGGAGGGGAAGTTGGTGGGAGCTGCCCACACCTGGAATAGTCCATCTGCAAGGGGGGAGGCTCCAGGCTCAGGGGATCTGCACCCCCCTGGCTGCGCTCGTCAGACACTGATGGTGCGGAAGATGTTGAAGCCGGACAGGGCCGTGGTGATCAGCACCCCAGGGCACTGTGGGTGCCAGTGCAGCTCCTTGATGTCAGTCTCACCCTGGTGCACGAAGAGCAGCCCCACACCTGGAATAGTCCATCTGCAAGGGGGGAGGCTCCAGGCTCAGGGGATCTGCACCCCCCTGGCTGCGCTCGTCAGACACTGATGGTGCGGAAGATGTTGAAGCCGGACAGGGCCGTGGTGATCAGCACCCCAGGGCACTGTGGGTGCCAGTGCAGCTCCTTGATGTCAGTCTCACCCTGGTGCACGAAGAGCAGCTGAGGGGGGATGGAGGCCAGGGCTGGGTCGTCCTCGCTCTCCCCTTCCCCCTCCTGCTCCCGCTCCACCGCCAGGTCCCACTGGGTCACCTGGTCGTCAGCGCCGGCGGCCGCAAACACCCCCGCGTCTGTGGGGTGCCACTCCACCGACGTGATGGGCGCTGTGTGCTGCTTGAAGGTTGCCAGCCCGTCTGTGGGGGGAGAAAGCAGCAGTGGGGGGGCTGCCGGTGGGGAGGGAGGGGCACCGGCAGAGAAGGGGGGAAGCCCAGGACTGGAAGGGGGATTAGAAGTGAGGAGCCTGGGCAGGATTGGGCGCAGGGCTGGGCTGGCCGGGGCTGTGGGGTGGGAGTGAGGGGCGTTGGCAGAGCAGGGGTTGCCTGGGGGAGAGGGAAGAGGGCTGACCTTGAAGAGTCGCAGGTCCCAGATGTGCAGGGCCCCACCCTCCCCCCCGCTGAGGAGGAAGGGCTCATGGCGGTTCCAGCTGATGACGTTGACGTCGCTGGCGTGGGCCTGGCTGGCTGTCAGCATGCAGGCTCTGCTCGGTGCCGCCCGCACATCCCACACCCGGATGGACCCATCTGCTGAGCATGAGGCGAATACCTGGGGGAGAGAGGGTCAGGGCAGCCGCTAGGAGGGTGGTAAAA